ATAAACACTGATTTTTCTCAATTTTTAACTTAATCTTTATAAATTTTCTCAATTTTTAACTCAGGATTTCAAAACACTGAACTTCCCTCAACCTTTAATCTGGGACTTTCATCACCCTTTAAGCCAGGATTTAGGCACAGTACAGTTAAAACATGTAAAGAGGGTTCATTTCAATAGAAAAATTTGAATTACTTTGATAATGACATAAAAAAAAAGATTAAAGATGAAAGCAAACAACAGTCCTTGGAGTCATGGTAACTGGTCAGCGTGTTTAATAATGATTTATTTATCATAACTCATCGTCTCTCCTTAGACTAATGTTAGTGTTCCTTCAAGTTACTGTTATCTATGAGGATAAGAAAGCAGCGGAACCTAAAGGAGCGCAGCTTAGACTGGGATTATTTCCTTATGACAGACATGATGGAGGCGATCGTGGTTTTACAGGGACAGGAATCTCAGGATTCAGTTTGCATAGCATGGAGGAAGAGGAGGAGGAGGAGGAGGAAGCTGTAAAGGTGAAAGTCATTAAGTTTCGCCACAGGGAGTCAAGGGTAATTGCTCTGATATTACACAGGAGCCGCAAACACTCACAGATTTATGTCTCCATCTCCTCAGAGGACATAATAAAGCCACAACACAAAGATCTGCATCGGTCCACCAACACAAACCTTCACATAATCATAATAATAATAATAATAATAATAATAATAATAATAAGCAATCAGGATGAGAATAATAATTTAAAGGCTGCTGGAGGAGATCCGGTGAAAACAGATGCATCTAGATATGAGAAATCGAGTGAAATCAATGATGATCAAGATCTCCTCACTGACAGCTATTGATTCATTATTAACATGATTGATTATTAAACATCAGAGGTGCCCCCCCCCCATGTTCATCATTAATTCATTGGTTTGTTCAAACGACTTTCAGCTGTTATTGAATCGATATTTACATGCAGGAAAGGCTTTAATGAAACATTAATGCCACCAGGAGCAGAGATGTTAGGAAACACCTGAACAGGAGTCAGGAGACCCCTCCCACCTTCTACATGAAGTCTCCTCTTTTACAAAACCACAAAGACTGGGATTTAAAAAAACATATATATATTTTAATTTGTTAGATTATTATTCACTGTAAACAATGTTTTTTGTTTATAAGTTTTACTTTAGTAGGATTTGTTTCCTTAAATGAATCCTGGTTTAATAGCTACTGGTTCCGGTTGTTGTTGTTTGTTTGTTTTTTTTTATGGGGGGGGGTACATATTTAATATTTACTTTTGCTTATTACTAAAAAAAAATCCTCTAAAATTATTTTACAGACATACATAATAATTTAACTTTTTAACTTGATCCAAATTTTCGGTCATTTTATTCTTTTTTTTAATCATCTTATCTTTAATTGTAGTTTTTTTATCCTTAGTTTAAGACTATTTATCCTTATTATTATTTATTTTATTCTTAGTCTTTGTTGTTTTTATTCTTAGTTTCCTTAGTTTCAGTTCTATTCTCATTTTTAGTTGTTTTATCCTTTGCATTAATCGCCTGATCTTGTGTTTCAGTTCTCCTTGTTTTTAGTCATTTTGTCCTGAGGTTTATGTTTATCCTTAGTTTTTATTATGAAATCTTAATTTTCAGTCATTTTATCT